TTGCAGAGGGTGAACTTACCCCAATTAGACCGAAGGATTGAAAGGTCTGCAGATGGTCAGCAAAGAGAGAGGGGATGATTTTTTCAGTTCTTTAGAACCAGGTTTTATATTGCATGAAAGGTGTCGCAAACATAACGTAGCTCGACGTTACGGAAAAGAGTTTACTTATAAAACCTGGGATAGGCATAAAAGGGCCGCAATTGACAATGCCAAAAAAAAGAAGGATAGAGCATCAACCGAGAAGAAAACCAGATATTAGAGAACAAAAAACAAGCTTATCACCAAGTTGGAACTTACACTCAAGCTTAGGATTAATTTCCTAACATTTTTAAAGTATACCTTTTTGTATATTTTTCTGTGCTCTTTCCGATGGCGCAGTTAGTTTCTTCAAATTTATTTTTTGTTAGATGTTCTCGGAAAACCCGGAGAAAATCATATAAGAAAAAATTAAAAAAAATTTACGCCTTCCGGTTTCCTGCGAATTCCCGAAAAATTATGGCAGATTTCGCCGCGGGACTTATTTTATTTGAGAGCCCACAAAAAAATACGCAACTTCTCTCATGGGCACATATGTCTAACATTTATAATTTCGCCACAAATTCATCGCAAATTTCATGTTCATGATTCTGATCAAAGAAACGAAAAAACTACTTTTTGGTAAAAGCACTTCTGGCGGCGAGAAATTCGCCATTAAAACTACCTGTGCAATGAAATTCCGAACTATTTTTGCCACCTCTTTCGATTGGTGCATTTATTTTTACTATCAGAATGATACTTGCCCAGATAATTAGCATTTTTACCACGGAAAATTCCGGAAAAACCGGTTTTTTCCTAATTTAAAAAAAATTGAAAAACAGCTACATCATTTTTTTCTTTTTTTCGGAAAGATCACATCAAAATACACAAGGTCCATTTTGTTTCATCCAATTACAAATTAATGTAAGCTCGAAGGGGCTTTTTTTCGTTATTTAATTGGACTACAATAAAAAAAATAATTTTTGTTAAACGTTCGCTTCATATTTCTCATCACATATTCGAGAATGGGAGTCCAGGGCCTGCACAAAATCTTAACATGAACAAAATGTTAAGTGGGCCATACAAACAAATTATAGCTTTTCAAACAAACAAATGTACAAAATTTTTCAAAATCGGCAGAAGAGTTTTATATTGATGAAAAACTGATTACTTGAAAATTTGGACACCCTGTATCTTCGAAACAAAGCAATTTAGGACACATGTTTATATGAACTTTATGTCATAATATCGATACCTCTTTGCCAGACTAACGTAAGCGACATTTGTTCAAATGGCACTTATGATAATCTGGCAAAAAGGTATCGATATGAGCCAAGGAATTACCTCCTTCAATTATGACATGATCTTTAAGAACACATTGTATACATACTAAAGGAGCCAGTCTAGGGTTATCAGACGGTCAGGAAAAGTTCGGAAAAGTTCGGACATGTTCGGAATTTTGGCGTTTTGTGCGGGATGCACCGAGAATTATAAATTGTCCAGAATTTTCAGGAACATCATCAAACGAATTATGGTATACTTAAAATCCCATATAAATAAGTTCTTAATTTAATAGGCGGTTGTTGTCTTGTGTAGTTGTTTGTGTATGTTATTATGTATTATACCGGGTGTTCAAATTAAAGTGTTACAGTTAAATATCGCCAAAAATATGCATTTTATAAAAAAAAGTTTCACACAAAAGTTTTATAGTTTTTTTTGGGGGAAACATTTGGGCTAAATTCATTTTTTTATAGCTGACCATTTATGGACTTTTTTTTCAAATTGGAACCCCATTTTTTACATATTTTTAAACTTCATAAGAAAATAAGAAACTTTTAAAGGAAACATTTTTTTGGACTTTTACTTATTGAGTAACACCTACTTGAAAATTTTGCTGCGCGAAAAAAAAGTTGGCCATATAAGCTATAAAAGAACGATTTTAGCCATAATGTTTTCCCCAAAAAACTATAAAACTTTCATCTGAGAACACCCTGTATAATGGTCTATGTTTAATTTCAGGAATATTTAATTGAGAAATTGTTTTTGTATTTAGTTTTTGATGGTAGCTATTTTTTTAATAAAACGTTTAGTAATTATGACATGTGTTGGAGTTTCATTATTTTGTCCGGATTTTTAAAGAAATGTCCGGAATTTTTATTAGGAATGTCCGGAAATTGTAGTTTTGAAAATGGTAACCCTACATCAGGCAGCTTTTAAATCATATTTGATTTAATATAACAAGTTTTTTTTGTTGACCAAATTAGTAATACAACACAAATATTTGTTTAGATTCATCAAATTAAAAAGTGGTCTGATAAAGTTAATTCCATATTTTTCTAAAATTACTTTCATAGATATAAAAATGACCGATAGTGGTTAATTGGTTGTTAAAAAAAACTAATTTATAAATACCGCATAAAATAATTTTGACCCAAAAGTTATCTAGTGTCTACAGACAATACTGATAAACTGACAATATTTTGATTGATATATAAATTTTGAATTTCATAATATCATTTACTGGATTCAGTAGCGATATATATTTTGAAAAATGGTACATTAACCGGCAGAATGTCATACACAATTATTGTTGAAAATTTTGAATTTATTTATCGTGAATTCGCAAATCGAAATCCAAAAAGTCAGAGAAATATCTGAAACAATAGACTGAATAATTTGAAAATTAATTACAGAAGTTTTATAAGTGGTTGCAAGAAATTTACATGTTGTTCCTCTAAGAAAGTTTCGAAAATTCTCGATTGTTTTATATATAACTAGGGGAGCAATAATAGATTAGTCGATTTTTTTTTAAATTGATAATCGATTATTTTTGATTAATCGATTATAAACGAAATACCCAATCACAGCAGTTTGCTTTTAAAATATAATATTTATAGTGCAAAATATTAAAACAACATATTTAATCCTTTTTTTAAATCTGTTTTTTATTTGTATAAAGTGTGGTTAATCAATGTCTAGGGTGGGCAAAATATTCGATTATTTGTTTATTAATCGATTAGTCGATTTTATTAATCGATTAACCCATTTTTTTCGATTAATAGATTATTTTCGATAAACCGATAATTCTAGATTAATCGATTATTCTGGATGAATCGATTATTTTCAATTAATCAAAATAATCGACTATTTTCGATTAATTGATTATAAACGACACTCAATCACACTAATTTGCTTTTAAAATATAATATTTATAGCGCAAAATATTAAAACAATATATTTTAGTCCTTTTTTTAAATGTTTTTTATTTGGGTTTGTATTAAGTGTAGTTAATCGTTACCTAGGGTGGACAAAATATTCGATTAACTGAATTATTAATCGATTAGTCGATTTTTTAATTGATTAACCTATTTTTTTCGATTAATAGATTATTTTCGATAAACCGATAATTCTAGATTAATCGATTATTTTCAATTAAACGAAATAATCGACTATTTTCGATTAATTGATTATAAACGACACTGAATTACACTAATTTGCTTTTAAAATATAATAATTATAGCGCATAATATTAAAACAATATATTTTAATATTGTTGAATCCGTTTTTTATTTGAGTTTGTAATAAGTGTAGTTAATCATTATCTAGTGTGGCAAAATATTCGATTAATTGTTTATTAATCGATTAGTAAAATCGATTAACTAATTTTTTTCGATTAATAGATTATTTTCGATTAACCGATAATTCTCGATTAATCGATTATTATCGATTATTCGAAATAATCGACTATTTTCGATTAATAGATTATAACCGAAACAATCACACTAGTTTGCTTTTAAAATAAAATATTTATAGCGCCAAATATTGAAACACTTTATTTTAATCCTTTTTTAAATCTAGTTATTATTTGGATGTATATTAAGTGTAGTTAATCGTTATCTAGGGTGGGCAAAATATTCGATTAACTAATTATTAATTCATTAGTCTATTTTTATAATCGCTTAACCCATTTTTTCGATTAATAGATTATTAAATTAGCCGATAATTCTCTATTAATCGATTATTCTTGATTAATCAATTATTTTCGATTAATCGATTATTTTCGAATAGTTATTTTAGATTAATAGAATATTTTCGATTAATCGATTATTTTCGAATCGTTATTTTCGATTAATCGATTATAAACGAAACACCCAATCAAACTAGCTTGCTTTTAAAATAAAATATTTATAGTGTTAAATGTTAAAACAATATATTTTAATAACTTTTTGGGTTTGTATTAAATGTAGTTAATTATTATCTAGGGATGGGCAAAATAATTAATAAACAATTAATAGATTTTTTTATGGATAATCGATTTTCCGATTAATCACTCTTTTCGATTTATCGATTCTTTTAGATTAATCGAATATTTACGATTAATCGATTATTTACGATTAATCGATTATTTACGATTAATCGACTATTTACGATCAATCTATTATTGTGGATTTTCGATTATTCTCGATTAATCGATTATTTTAGATTCATCGATTATTTTAGATTCATCGATTATTTTAGATTCATTGATTATATTAGATTAATCTATTATTTTCGATTAATCGATTATTTTCACTCCGTGGAGTGCGTAAAGTATGTACTTTGCGCACGGTAGTAGAAAAAAGTTATTTTATGCAAAACTGAAGGTGAATTTATATTAATCAAATTTTCAATAATTCCACATATGCAATTTTTGATATTTTAAAGTACGTTTTAATCAAATATTGGTTGTCAAATTTTTGAATTTTGAATTTTTATGATTTTTATTTTTCGATCATCTTATTAATATGTAGTTTTCCTAAATTGTAAAATCCATTACACCATAAATATTCATATATCTAGTATCCTAAAATAAAATGAACTTATAAGATTGGAGTGAAAAATTAAGTATTTTGTAGCACCAACCCGAATTTTTTCTAGCCTCACTTCGTATCACGATTCGGTCTATAGATGCTAAAGTTACAATAAAAAAAAGTGGAAAATCTTACCTGTAAACACACAGAATACTCTTGGCCAGGTTTTAAGTCTTGTATCCTACAGGAAAGGGACGCGCCGCTATAGATCGACTTGAACTTCATTTCTTTGCTCTTGTCGCTAAGGAGGACTTCGTACCTAAGATCAGACTCTGAAATGTCAATGTCATGGCTATCGTTGCTCGCCGATTCAGAAAGACGCACGGGCGGCGCCCATTGCAGTAAGGCACTACGGGAACTTAGTTCAGACACCTGCAAAACGAATTGTCATTTGTCATTTTCAAAATTAATTAATGAGCAATTGTTTTGCATAATAAACAACTCGTTTACTTTTGACACATACCCAGATTCGCTAAAAACATGTATATCTTTTACAATTTATACAAAGAAAGACAGGATCCTCCATCACTTTCTATCGCAGGACCTATTTGATCATAGATCCTTCAGGGAGTATACCAAACAGATTAATTATGATAAAATTGATTAAATAAATGGAAAAACAATGAAAAAATTGGAAAACAATGAAAAAAATTAAACAAAGATGGTCCTATGATTGATGTTAAGACTAAATATGACTATTATTATGATAAAATTAAATATCTAAAAAAATAAATGAAAAACAAACCAAAAAGAATGTAGACTTTAATTCAAAATCTCTAGCTTTAATAGCCGACTACTTATCCATTAGATCACGTTCCCTAGATGCATGTGTTTGTAATACGATGTATTATACAGTCATTCAATCATTTGACAACGAACTAACCAAACGAAAATTTCAAGAACTCGTCAGGCGAAGATAGGACTCGTGATATCCGCTTTCGGCAGAATTTTGTACAAAATGATTTCAAGACAGTGTTGTCATGTCATGTAGGACTGAATTAATAATAAAGATAATCTGTTGAACAAAAGGACTCTTATGAGACCTATCAAAATTATTTATTATTACGAATACTGGTGTCTTCTACTGCACAATATTGTTTCCTGCAGTGGATAGGCTAGTGCCAACCGAAATATTTCCTGCGATTTTGTGATATACTGGATTGTCTTGGTCTATTAGTTGTAGGAACTAATTTTCCCATTTTTTCAATTTAATGGGCTTATTTCCGGTAGCTTTTACATCTGTCTTCTTTTTTATGGTAGTTTTTATGTTCTGCAATACTTTCTTTAGTTGTATTACAGTGAACAGTTTCCCGATTGAAGAAGAATACTCAGCACTGAGAGTAGACCATGCTTGTCTTAGATTTCATCACGGGCGGTGTTTTTGATTTATCCAGTAATATAATGTGGTCTTTCAACAATCTTACAAACAATGAGCGATCAATCTTTTTGTCGTCTTTCTCGTCGTTACTATCACGGTCGTCCTCTGAGGATGCCATCGTAGTAAAAGTGATAACAGTACCGATATATGTAGATACAACTGTAACATTGACCAACAAAACACATACATCACTGACCTGTCGTGACAGGGGCCGAGGTCAGAGTGCATGAAATCACAGGTATTAGTGGAAGGGAGTCTGTCGTGACTATGAAGACTTAAGTCTTCATAGTCGTGACGTGAACCTAGTAAGTGCTTATAGGTTAGTATATGCTACCCGTAGCTTCTGTTACACTTTTCCGGATTTTAAGACTTTTTTATTCACTTCGATAATAAGCAAACACTTAACTGCCTAGCATATGCTAAGTTAGCAAATGCTTGCTTTTATTCACACCACCCAATATAGACAAGTTAGCTAAAAATCTAGAAAAAACAACTGAAGTATTATTCAAAACACGTAATGATGTTTTCCAAAATTTGTTTTGTTTATGAACTGTATTAAAATTGTGGTCGTTGAAATAAACTTTTATTTTGACTAAATAACTAAAAGAAACAATTAAATTTATGACAAGGGAATCTTTGTGTGAAGTACCGGAATGTTCTCTTCTTTTCGAGCCACGCCGAATCTCAGTACGTAACTCGCCGAGACTGAATTAGAAACCCTATTTTACAACAAAAGTGGAAGACAATAGGTACAATATAAAATCGTTGAATTAGTCGTTTTAACTACTAAAATGCTAAATAAATACAAAATCATTGAAATTTGATAAAAATAGCCATAATTTACCAAAAACCTCTAGATCTCATACAACTTTTAAAAATGATACCTATAACTCTCCATTACGTTCCAACGCAGGACCTGTTTGATCAGGGAGTATAGCAGATAGGAAAGGATGTTTGCCCTTATTGCGAAGATGAGGACATAGTACTAGCTATATAAGAGCAATGTGCACAGTAACGTAGGAAAAATTATGATGAAATTTGAAGAAGAAAAAAACAACTAGAAAGTAAATATAGATAATACCCTGGGGTATTCAGGGATTATATTAAACAAAAACGGATAAAAAAAGGCGTTCACTGACAGCTACATTTGTAGTACATGTGTAGTTATTTAAGCAAGAGTTATGACGAAATCTAAAGAAAACAAAAATCAAAAGAGGTAGAGAATAAAGATAATGCCCTCGTTTGGTTCCAGGAACAAATGAAAGGCCTGTGACTGGAAGTTTACAAAGAATTCCAGTATGCAAAAACATTTTACTACATGAAAACAGTATCTACTGCGATCAAAAACAGTCATAGACCACATTCAGAGCACTTTGCAACCTACTCTGCAGATCATGTCAGTCAATGACAGTTTCTGACTGTTGTTGGATACAAATCCGACATATTTATCTTTATCGGTTGTAAGCAGGTAGGGTTAGGTTTGGCCCAGAACACTGCGGACTCTTGGGTATATTATATTCCCCTGCTTTCCCCGTATTCAGGTACTATCTTTGGAATAGTCCTGTATCTTTGTTCAGTGCCAGTCGAGCAGAGGTTTTCCTTATCCCAAATACAATTTCGGGTCCTGTGAATGGTAGATCTGATCCCTCTTTGGCGAGTTCATTAGCCTTTTCATTTCCTTGGATACCTTTGTGCCCTGGTACCCACGCTAGTTTTACCTTGTGTTGCCAGATCATTTAGTATTCCAAGGCAGTTCCAGACAAGCTTTGAATTGATTCTGTTTGAATCTACTACAACCTACTCCGCAGAATCATGTCGGTCAATGACAGTTTCTGACTGTTGTTGGATACAATTCCGACATAAATTTAAAATATTCTCAAGAGAGTGTCCAATAGAGAATGTGGTCATCTTAAAGGTACTCTCACAAAAATACAATTTATTAAATAGTATTACTGGTTTTGGCCCTAAGCTATCATCAGGTCTATAAGTAAAGAAACATACCTAAGTAATACGTGATAAGCGTACGTAATACTGAGGACGTCTCCAAAAGGATTAAAAAATTAAAACGTAAATAGTTGATACTAAGCACGAATTTGGGCAAGATAGTTGCAAGAAACAAGGAACATGTGAGGAAAATGCAATAAATTGAACAAAATAGTGGAAAATTATTACAAATGTTAAGAACAAAGAAATTTTACTATTCATACACTATTCATAGTAGATAAGTGACGTTGGAAGATAATTAGTTGTGACCAAAAAGGGCGAACAGATGGTAGGAGAAAAGCCCTATGGGGACTGTCACGTATATTATAAATGAACATCAATTGGTTTGAGTGACAAACGTATCATACCCTAAGTACCAAGAATGCTAATTGATTGGAAATTTTAAATTATAACTATATGGTACCCTAGCTTGTATCAACCATAAAAAGCTATTCCAAATGGAAGACACCCAAAGGCAAAGAAGTAAAGTTAAACTTTTGTGTGGAATTATTTGTATTCTGCATGAAATGGATGATCATTATTGTATAGGTTGGGCTTCGGCCCCTGTATTTAACCATCCCCTAAAGGACCGGTACTGGTGGACTGTATTTTTACCTTAATACCGTCTTTTCCATAGTAATCAAACTTATTCAAGAGCTAGTGTGTGAAGTATCAAATAATCTTACTTTGGGTGCCTGGACGGACGACAGAATATCGGTTGCGATCTGTATGGAGTCCTCCTCGTCGGGTACGCTGCTCTCCTCGCCGTCCTCGCTGGTCCCCACGCTGTTCATTCCTTTCTCCTTAAGGCCGCCCCCTCCAGCCGACGATCTCTTCAACCCGTTCACCAACTCCTTCCTAGGCAGCAGACTGTCGTTCTTTTGCTGTTTGTCGTGCAGCTTTTTTTTTAGCTTGATGTGCTGCCTCTGGGTTCGCTCGTCCTTGTGGTAAGTGGGCGGAGGGGGCGGCGAATGGCCGAGGTGCGTCGGCACAGGATGGCCCGACTGGAGATTGGAATGGAACTGTTGCGGGGGGTAGCCGGACGGTAGGCCGGGGTAGAATTGTTGGGATTGTGGATTGTTGTTTCCCGGAGCGCCACCCTGAAATAGAAAGAAAAAAATCAATATTTACAATTAAAATATACAAAAATAATTAATTCCAAAACATCGAAGAATTGAGAGAGCTGGGATGGGATTTGAATTTGTGTATGCGCAGACGAGAGTCGGAATCTGATTGACTTCAAATCTACGAGTTTTCAATTTTTCGGATCTCAACCGATTTTTCTCACTTGACTTTCTTTCACTTGTATAATTAGTTATCCACAATGAAAATAATTTAGCTGATTTGGTCCCAATACATCTAGCAAGTTACGGTTTTCCATTGTACTATCAATATTTTCTTTTTTTTTTTTAGGTTTCTAGATAATTATTGGTTCAAAGTAGTTGCCTTAGGATCGATTTCACCGTTGTGTTAAACGGAGATTAAAATGACATTGTTAATGTAAAAATGTCATTTTAAACTTCGTTTAACACAACGGTGGAATCGGTCCTTACCAAATACATTTTATTTTCGGATTGTGGTATAAAATGGTATTTTTTTTCCTCTTTTATATGTATATTTATTTGTAAACTATGACTGGATAAATGGTTCGCTATTTAGTATCGTAGAAACAAATAAATAAATTAGATTTTTTTATTCCATTCCAATGTGGAACAATTATAACTTCTTTGGTAAAATGAGCATTGTAGATGAATGAATACATTCTATTCACCCTGTAGTTTTCAATATTGTTTTTGAAGTCGAAATCGATATTTCTTGAAAGTTGTTACAATCAACCCACGCTTATGTAGTATTATTTTATAATTATAAAACGGTTATTCCATTATATAATTTTGAAAATAAAATAAATATTGTTCAACTGAAATTCTAGGAATTGCTGTCAGTTTGCTTAATAAAGTTATCTACTGTTTATAAGAAAATTCACTCAATATAATGAAAGCATAAGCTTTAGATATAGAAAAATATTGATTTGTTTACCGAGAAAATTATTTACATTAACGTTAGCGGGTATTTCAAGGTGTTGATAGAGAAGATAATTATTTAAATTTAATTATTCTCTGAATTTGTAGGTATACAGTTCGTTCGTTTGAATCTTTTACGGCAAGCTTCTAATTTACAAAGTTCCATAGCCTCTATTATCGTTATAGTTCTTCCATTATCAATTTCAGATCATAAAAACTCGTTCGGAACCTTTACCGACAATTTTGTTTGATCTGCCATAGGCGTAGATACCTACCTCATTTTATAAATTTATTTTATTAATACTTTTAATATATATCATATATGCAAGAAAGTATTCGTTAAAAGGAAATCGAATAATTATAAATTAGACGTTATTATACGCCCTTATTTAGACAGATGCACTTAATTGTAATCTTACTTGGACTTAAAAAAAATCATTATAGCTCGTTAACTTGCTACAACTGAATATTAAATTATAAAACGTAAAAAAGCGAGTAAAGTGTACCTGCCTATAAGGGCGTTTGGTTTAAACAGGGTACCAGACGTGAACTGAACTCTTTTTGTACCCCATTCGTTGTTTTTCTGGAAAACGAAATTTCAAAGAAAAAACCATAAAGGAAAATAAATTCTTTGCAAATAAAACAAACAAAAAAAAACAATTCAATTCTAAAGTATCTTTATAAATAATCATGGCAGTCTGAATCCTCTGAACTAGAGCCATCATTTGGTTGAATTATGATGGGTTGTAAAGAGGGTAATACTACATACTCATCTTCTTTGATAACATGTTCAACACAGTTTTTCCAAAGCTCTTGGCAGTCTGCTGCTAGAACTTTTTTTACGAGTTCTACAACTTCTTTACTCAGTTCTGGAGACTGATTACATTTTCGTAATTCAGATTTTAAGTTTGCCAATATTAACTCTATATGGTTAAATATGCAATAGTAAGGAGGTAGTCTGAGAAGAGTTTGCACAGCTTGTCAATATAATACATTTTTTCTAACTTTATACCTTTAATAACAGTAAGCAATTATTTGTTTGTTGGTCCTTTTTTACTATCACTGGCAGGAATAGGAATATTTTTTTCAGACATAAAAGCTAAAATTTGAGCTTTTTTACTGCTACTATTTGGTATTTTAAGGAGTTGCCGCGAGTGGTAGGATGCGTTGTTCATAACGATTACTGACTGTGGTGGAATGTAAGGTAAAAGCTGTTCATTAAACCGTTTTTCAAATAATTCTGCTGTCATATCTTCATGATAATCAGCTGCACAGTTTTTAATTTGTTTAGCAGATAATAATAAAGCATTAGGCACGAAACCGTCTTTGCTTCCAGCGTGTACTATTATAATGCGTTTCCCTTTAGAACATGGCCCATTCAAACAGAAATTTTTACTACTGCCAACCCAACCGAAATTTACTACATCGTGACTGTCAAACCATGTTTCATCTAGATAAATTATGTGTCTATTAGAACTTCTGTAGCCTTTTATCTGACGCAAATAATCTTGTCGCCATTGAACTATCCTTGACGATTCGGTGATTGCCATCTGTTTATTCAATTTTTTGTGTTTAAAACCACATGCTGACAAAACTTGACGCAATGTTTCCAAACTGGTATAAGTGTATCCTGGAAAATCCGCCACCTTTTGCTGTATTACTTCCAATGTCGGAACCCTGTTCTCCTTATATAAACTATAAATTGTCCTTCGTATAAAATCTTGGGTAGCTCTGTCAACTGCTTTTAGTTTTTCTTTACATGTTTTTCGGTTTTATGAATAATCCACAGCAACCCCTTTCGTGACTACCGGATAAACGGAAAATTTATTTACTTTAGTCAATTCAGCAATTGTTATTATGAACGCATTATCAGACTGCTGAATATTTTCCTTTTTTAAACATTCGAATATATTTAAAATAACTTGTTGTGTTTGTATATCTAAATCCTTATCGTTAAAGTCATACCTGTCTTTAATCTCACTACACTGTGCAATTTCATTTTCTTCATTCGCCCATGGTCTAAAGAACGCCATATTTATATTTATTAAAAGAAATTTAAATTAAACCAACCACACATACAAAACACACCGCACGACAGTACTCCACTGATATCGCAGACTGTCTTCCAGGAATATTTTCGAACACCTGCCTTCCGTAAACCTTCGGCCAATACAGTGCATTTAAGTTTACGATTCGATGTTTTCATTGGTAAACAACTGATGGTTCGTTTAATATTTACCGCTTTGTATAAGGGGAGTAAACATTATTTTTCGTTTCTTCATTTGGCATGAGTACCGTGCGTATATATTAAATATTGATGATTCCCCACATAACTGTGTACTGCAATTGATAATGGAAGGACTATACTACCAGGGCCGTCTTCAATCTATTGGAAGCTCTAGGTACTTTAGGATAATTAGGCCTCTATGACCATGATATGACAGGGACTATTTTATTAACAACAGGCAAAAGGAGTAGATAGGCAAAATTATAATCCCGAACGGAGGTGGTTTCTTCATTAGTTCATTTGTGCAGTCAACACCTAGTTAAATTTCATAAAGACACATTCTTTTAAAATCACATAAAAATATAAAGTCAATTTTAATATTTTTATTATTTTCATACACGTTAACCTCTATTTTTGGATAAGCCGCTATGCTCTGGCTAATTACGTCCCTGTCTATGCTGATTAAGCACGAGAAGTTTACGCAAATGCATGTAGTTAAAAGGAGAAGTCACGTTATTTTGTGCATCGCACATACACAAGGCGTGACGTCACAAAGTAGGGCGGAGCATACGAACATTTTCAATCATTGAGTTTCCAATCAAAGTCTTATAGGTTATAAATTCTCATAAGACAATTTTAATTGTGACTTTAATAAATTCATAATAATTAATGTTTGTTTACTTGCAATTTGAAACAATAATTTAGTTTGACGACTGTAATTTATATTTTTTTCCAGTGTCTAAAACTACTTCAGAATAGTCATGTATTTTGTACCCAACTGTAAACTTTAGTCCCTCAAATAACAAAACCAATAGAAAACATAGAAAACTTTATTTATTTCATAATCATTAAATAATTAGTTAAATAATCGTTATGAAATAATATTGATGATTTCTTTTCACATAATTATCGTGTAAGTTTTAGTCCCTGCCGTACAAAAAATAGCATGTGTACAACGAGACTAAAGTGCGTTTTAATCCCTCACTCTCAGGATTAACAGTGGCATGAAATAAGAAACTGCAGAGTTGCCAGAGAGCTCCTCGTTATCCTGACAACACTGCAGCAAACAAATACTTGACTATGACTAGACAGAATCTGTGCTTCGTCACAGGCATTCTGACTGGTCCTTGCCAAGTACGGAAGCATCTCCATATCATGGGGCTGTCAGAATCCGCACTCTGCAGAGGGTGGGAACAAGAAGATGAGACCATCGAGCATATCCTTTACGATTGCTCGACGCTCTCATTTATTAAAAGAATTGTGTTTGGCGAGTATCGGCTAACACTGGCCGATATAAGAGATTGGCGACGTTATCAACTACATTAAATCTGTAGGCTAGCTCACGAGCTAGGAGGTGTCTATCATCTTAGGAAGATGAACAATGGATCTAGTGAGGCCTAAGTTCCGTGGTGGGTAACCCACCCTCCACACTTTACAGATACAGAACTTGGTATATAATATACTATTATAGATGGTTTTCAACGTAATAAAAAAATATTACAATAACTAAAATATTCACTTTTTAACACGCTTATATTAGCTTCACCTGTATGTGTTTGTAACTCTCATTTGGACTCAACTGGCTTATTACTGTCAGTATATCCCACTAAGTCAAGTTCGTTCGTGACCGAGCGGTCTAAGGCGCGGGTTTTCGATTGCCAGACTCAGCGATTGTGGGTTCTAATCCCCACGGCTGAATCAGCAATTTCAACTTTTTTTTAATAATTAATCGAACTAAAGAGTAAAAAATAAATATAGTTTAAAAAACTAAAAAACAAGCATAAAACAATAATAAATGGAAAATACTAGTATTATTGTGAAAAAAGCGTGGGGCGCTTTGTCCATATTTCTC